GGCAGCAATAAAAGCTAGCGTCTCTCACGAGAGAGAAAGAGAGTTGCGGTCTTGAGATAGTGTTTTAAAATGATCGCCAATTTTATCATCGTCAATGCTAACTTCCAGCCAAAGGAATCGTTGCATTTATCCTGGGTATGAACCGATTACAGATGAACTTGCTCATTCTATGTAAAACATAACATAAAACTGGTATTTATTTAATGGAACAGTTGTTACGAATTCCTCAGTTTCAAATAGCAACAAAGCTGGCAAAAGAGAGAGAAAGTGTTTACTGAAAAAGCGTCGACTTAATTTCCTGTAAAATGAAAAGGTAGTATCGTTTCGAAACTAAAGTTCAAGTTTCTTCTCTTTGTTCTGTCAAACTAAATTTTTTCACTCTCTGTAATTTTGGGTAGCTCCTTTGAATGAACTAAAAATAACTTTTGATGAATTGGGATAGGTATTAAATTTTCTCTATGAACATGGCCCTTAAGAATATTCAATAAATTGAAGGAAGTGAATTTATCATTCGGTGATTAAATATTAAATTTGAAGAAGTTAACAATTTTCCCGAATCAATCTATACACAAATAAATTAAATATCTTAAATAAATCTCGATAAGCTCATGGGCTTCAATGTATCGACAGCACAGCTGCCCTAATACAGAAACCTGCTTAATTTGAAAAATATTTTCGAAATTAATTAATAATTTCGTTTTTTCTGAGTTCTTTGATAATTTTGAAATTATTAATTAATTTCGAAAATATTTTTCAAATTAAGCAGGTTTCTGTATTAGGGCAGCTGTGCTGTCGATACATTGAAGCCCATGAGCTTATCGAGATTTATTTAAGATATTTAATTTATTTGTGTAGATTGATTCGGGAAAATTGTTAACTTCTTTAAATTTAATATTTAATAAACTTACGATCTGCTTTTGTTACTCCTAAGGATCCAGGTTATGGGGTCTATAGTAAAAAAAATTACAAGATCCTTAACACTTTCTTGAGGGCTTGATTATGTAGAAGTTAATTATTAATTTTTTGTTATGATTTGATTATCAAGTGTAGAAAGCAAACGAAACGCTTCTAGAACATTCTACGATTTTACATACCCTTTAAATGTAAATGTACTTCGCCCCTATACAATTGATTGAAAATCCGTGAGTCTTCCCACTTGTATAATAAAGAGCGTCATGCTTTGACGCTTCATGTGGCTATGAGTGATTTCGAGGTTCTCACTATGAGCGCTTTGAGAATAAATGTATCGTTTTATGTTAGCAAAAGATACTTATATTCAAAGCGTTCTTAGAGTGTATCTAGAAAACATCTTATATTGTTCCTTCTCATAGTGGTTTCAACTGACAAAATTAGTCAAAAGTGGAAAAAAGTTTCAAATTGAAATAGTATGACAAATAATTATTAGAAACAATTAGATATTATTAATAATAATAAACATCAAGTAAATGAATCTATATTTGTTTGTAATGATAGGTCAATTTACATAAAACCTAAAATATCTTTTAATTCTTCTTCAAATCGTAAATAATAGAAAAATGTTTTGCAGAGAGTAATTTTAAGACAACAACGAGAGAGAAAAATGTAAAATTACTAAATTTTTAAGAATCATCTAAGTGTACAAAATGCTAATAGCATTTTCAAGAGCGTTCTCAAAACAAATATGTTTTTGTACCTGCTCTGAAATATCAATTCTGACACCGCCTTATGATCAGAAACAATTCGAGTATTGCGACTGTGGAAATGTTGGGCTTCGGTATAAAAATTGCAGTATGATCAAAGCAGCAGGTGAATCAATCTCTGATATCTCATGCGTATCAAAAGGCAGAGGGTATATACACTTCTGGCGTGCACCCGGGCAATTTAGCGTTCTATATATATATACGTATATATATATTAAGCGCGCTTGCACTAAATCAATGGCGTCGGGCGCCAGGTCTCTTGATGTTTCAAGAGTCATCTCGGTCAGTTTTTGCTGACAGGAAGTGTAAGCTAAGTGAAGGTCGAGCGTTCCTATATAGAGTAGAAGGAAAGGAAACGAAAAGAAAAAGGAGGGGAGAAAAAAAGAAGAAGAAGAAGTAGTAACGAACAACGCTTCTTTGCTGTGTGGTCTTTTCTACTTGCGATGTTTCACAGTGTGGGTGTGACCGCAACCAACAACGTGAATAGGCACTTCCATGCTTCTGGGAAGGAAGAAGAGGTGGTGCCAGGTCATTCCCCGTCGATCCCCTCAAGAGACTCACGAGAAGAAATCGTGAAACGATACGCCCTTTTTCGCCCAGCCACCGTGTACACTTTGTCGTCTCGTCACTGTCAGCGTTTGTCGACTGAGAAATTCACATTGGTCCCGGTTACGTGAATTATCAGTCGGTGAATATATCATACTTTTTTTCAATATTATAACGACCCGTGGTAACATCATGGGAAGCATAATAAAACTAGATAAGAGTGAAATTTATTTACACTTTCAGTTATTTAGTTTGCAATGGAATATCCAAAATATTTTAGAGTGTACTTAACTCAGTTAACAACGGACATTACAGGATTTAGTGGACGTTTAGTAGTATCCGAATATTAGGATTGTAACTCGATTTTAATTAACTTAATAATTCGCGTAAAGCGGTCAAAGATTTAAGTATAAATTTATTTAAATATCACCAATAATCTCATCGAGAAGATCTGCTAAGACATACGACGAATGCTGAAACATATTCAATTAACTAGTTTACTAATTTTCCATGGACTTCTGGTGGTCGATTCTGTAACATTCCCACTCCCACTTTCCACTCCAACCTTCTACTTCCCACCTTCCACTCTCACTTCCCACTCCCACTTCCCACCTTCCACTCACACTTCCCATCTTCCACTTTCCACTCTCACTTTACACCTTCCACTTTTCAATCTCACTTCCCACTCTCATTTCACCACTCCTACCTTCAACTTTTCACTCTCACTTCTAACCTTCCACTTTCACTTCCCACTTTTCACTCACATTTCCCATCTTCCACTTTTCACTCTCACTACCCACTTTTCACTCACACTTCCCATCTTCCACTACCCACTTTCCACTCTCACTTTACATCTTCCACTTTTCAATCTCACTTCCCACTATCATTTCACCACTCCTACCTTCCACTTTTCACTCCCACTTCCTACCTTCCACTTCCCACTCTCATTTCTCAGTCCCAGTTCCCACCTTCCACTTTTCACTCTTACTCCCCACTTCCTACTTTCCACTCTCACTGCCTACTCCCACCTTCCACTTCCCACTCTCACTTCCAACCCTCACCTCCCACTATCCACTTTCATTTTTCACACTCATTTCTATTTTCCACATTTACTTCCCACATTCTGTAACATTCACACTCTCACTTCCCACACCCACTTTGACTTCTCACATTCCACTCCCTCCTTCCACTTTTCACATTCCACTTTCATGTCTCACTTATCACATTCCACTTTCTACTCACACTTTGACTTCCCACATTCCCCTTTCACTTTCTACTTTTAACTCTCACTTTTCACTCCAATTTTACATTTTCACTTTCCACTAATACCTAATTAACGATTAAGAGTGCAAGGTACACTACCGGTGGAAATTGTGCGTCTGTTAACAGCTCGAGCTATTAAAAAACACACCCGCACAAATACAGTGATAACTCCGTCAAAAATGAAGCTAGATGTTTTTTTTAAATTGCATTGGAAAGCTTATTAAATTTCCAATGAAATGACACTATTTTTATTTGCATTGCATGAATAGGAAGCGAGATATCATGTTATAAACACAACAAAATAATTATATTTTTTTTGCACTTGGCAAAATTAATTTTCGAAACTTTTTTCATAGCCACACAACTTAATCAACGGCGAATTAGAAAAATCGATGATTGAAAATTTTGCTTCGCACGGTCAGACAATTTTTTAATATCTCAGAAACCCGTTAATATTTTTTACTATTCTTGGTCTCTATTTAAAGCTTAGATTAAAAGGAATAGTCTGTGAAAGTAAAAATTTGTTCCATAAACTTTTCTAAATTTTGCCAGGAATTAAAGTCAGTGTAAGAAATTAAAAAAAAATAGAATTATTTTGTTGTGTTTATAACATGATATCTCGCTTCCTATTCATGCAATGCAAATGAAAATAGTGCCATTTCATTGGAAATTTAATAAGCTTTCCAATGCAATTTAAAAAAAAGCATCTAGCTTCATTTTTGAAGGAGTTATCACTGTTTTTGTGCGGGTGTGTTTTTTATTAGCTCGAGGTGTTAGCGGTCACACAATTTCCGCCGATAGTGTAGATAGTGAGAGGAGTAAGTGTGAGTGTAAAAAAGGTGTGAAAAATGGAAGGTTGGAAGTAAAAGTGGGAAATAGAAATGAGAGTGAAAAGTGGGAGTGTGAAGTGAGAGTGGAAGGTGGGAAGTAAGAAGGGTGACATGAGATTGAGAAGCGAGAGTGAAAAGTGGAAGGTGGGAAGTGAGAGTGGAAGGTGGGAGTTTAAAGTGAGAGTGAAGGTTGGAAGTGAGAGTGAAAAGTGGAAGGTGAGAAGTAGGAGTGTGAAGTGAGAGTGAAGGTTGGAAGTGGTTAGTGAGAGTGGAAAGTGGGAGAAGGAAAGTGTAAGTAAAAAGTGGGAAGTGAGAGTGGAAAGTGGAAGGTGGGAGTGGGAAATGAGAGGGGTGAAATGAGATTGAGAAGTGAGAGTGAAAATTGGAAGGTGGAAAGTGGGACTGTGATGTAAGAGTGAAGGTTGGAAGTGGGAGTGGGTGGTGAGAGTGGAAAGTTGAAGAAGGGAAGTGAAAGTAAAAAGTAGGAAGTGACAGTGGAAGGTGGGAAGTGAGAGTGGAAGGTGGGAGTGGGAAGTTGAATGTGGACAGTGAGAGTGAAAAGTTAAAGGTGGGATGTGAGTGTGGAAGGTGGGAAATGAGAGTGGGAAGTGGGAAAGTTACAGAATCGACCCCCTGGACGTGGAAATTAAGGAAAAGCACTGAGTAATTAAATAACCCTAGATAGTTATGCAAATAAATTTATTTAATTATTATTATTACTATTATTAATATTAATTAAAATTATTTAATTTCTAGCTATTACAACATTAGCACAAGTCTCTACTTCATGGGTAAATAATTTTTCTTTTTGTTCACTCATCGCTTCCTCGCATTGTTTTAAGTCTGGTGACATATGTTCAACAAGTTCAATCATCTGTCGACTATTACGATAAATAACTTCGTATTTTTTGTTTACTTTAAGATATGTCTGAAAAAATTAAAAACAGGTTTAATTTTTAGATATTTTTACTATTAGATCAGGAACTAGCGTTTTTTTAAACGCGCTATTCAGTAAGAAGCGCGCGCAGAATAAAAAGAAGAGGGATAGACAAATTAGGAACCGCTATCCCAAATCTTCTCAACTTGATTCACAGATTTAAACGACGCTAATCCATGTCTCAGATAAAATTAATTATTTTAGTATGTTCTATTTTTATAAAAATATTTTAAACAGTATGTTCACCTGAAGTGTAAAGTCGGAAGTGTCTAAATATGCTTTTCGAGAATCTTCATTAGAAACGCTTTTATTATGAATTATGACTCCAGTGCTTTTTATTCTACTTTCAATTTCATTGTCAGTGATATTTAAAAGTTGTAGGAACAACTTGTAATTATTAAAAACATCCTGCATATTAGCACTCTTGAAATTGAATTTTCGGAAAACAGTTTCATAACATTCGTTTGCTTGATCTAAAGATGAATTTCTCGAATTTACATAATTTTCATATATGACTAAACATTGGTCTTTTCTTTCTCCATTTAAATTTGCGTAAGCGTTGTGAAGAGCCTGCATGAAAATGAACAAAACAAATTTTAATTTATTCATAATTATATGCAGGAATTATTATTTACTTTCATTTAGCTGTAATTAGTTCTTAATTACGATTGAAAATTAAATAAAATTATCATTAAACAATAATAATTCCAAATTACAATTAATTATCAAGAATAACTTATATTTAATGAAAGAAAAAATTAATAACAATTTATTTATTTTTTCGAATTTTTAAAAAAATAATACTCACTCTGTTTGTGCTTGCATGAAATATATTACTATAGGTTTTTAAGTAGGAAGTCTTGAATTCAGCTTTAGTTAAATTTGTTTCTAATTGATCGAGATTAGTAAATGAGGAAATGAGGAAATTCTTCTGATTCCACAAATCGCTAACATCAAAAGAATGTGCGTTCTAAAAAAAATATTTTTCTAATAAAATTCTTAACTAAAAAGCTGTATTGAAACTTGAGTAGTTTGACATTTTAAAAATTAAATATTTTTTAACTATATAATAATGTCATTTAATCAATTAAAGTCTTTAATTATGATTTTATATTTAGTTTATAATTGTCCAATTCATAATTACAGATTATATTAGTAATTAATTTTATTATAAAAAATTAGCATTCAATTTAAAACTTACCCCAAATAAGAAAAATGAACAAATTATAAATATCATTTTAGAAAATATTCTTCCGCAAGTTATGTATTTTATAATTTTATGTTATTTTATGGTCTTTATCGATTAATTCTTTTTTAGAAATTACAACTCTTTTAGTAAATTTCTTAATATTTATACTTATTTTAGTAAAATAACAGTTATTTTTGCTTTTTTATACTGAAAATAAAAGAAATTGTTCATAATTAAATAGAAAATATTCTGCTATAGAAAGTAAGGTGCTTTATTGTTAAACTAATTGAATACATGAAGGTTCCTATATTGATTATAATGTGAAATATTTAAATTTCTTTGAAATCATTTTGATACTGCTTCGCAATTGAAATAAAAGTTAACATATACAAATTTTATAAGAAAATATTACAATAGGACAGGTGTTCTTTAATCTACTATTTTTAAAAGCGTAAAGTTCTTAATGTGTATTTTCACAGCACACAGATTTCAATTTATTATTTTTTAGAGAGTATTCTATTAAAAATTCTATTTAAAATTTATCATTGAGTAGAAGAAACAAAAGTTAATATATTGTTTGAATTGAATTGGTTAATTTATTCATATTTTTCTTTCAAACATTTTATAGTTTTGTATTAAGTTTTTGTTTCTTTAAGCATTTATGTTTAATGATTTTATTAACTACACTTTAAAAATTTTTGGGAGTAAATGTCAATCAATGCGAGTAAGGAGTAAAATTTTTCGAGTAAAAAATTCAGAAGGAGAGTTATTCTGAAGTTAAACAAACGAGTTTGTTATTTACTCTCATTTACTACAATTACATTAAATGTCTAACCAAGAATCAAACAAGAATTTGTAAACCTCTTTGCCAAGTTTTGACACAAACTGTCACTGAAAAGTGGAACAGTTTAGTTAGGTATGAAGATTCATCTTTATTAACCCACTACCACATCAAGGCATTATTTGACACACCATGTGTTACAAAACTCTCATTCGTGACATTAAGACAATTAATAGACGATACTAACAATCATCTCTTGTCTCTGAAATCTTTAGGGGAAAAGATTGAAAGTTGGGATACTGTAATCATTTATTTGTTTATTGGCAACTTTTCTCGAAACTCATTGTAAATATCTGCAAAAAACTATGATTGAAAAGCAAGAAACATCGAATAACCATGTTAATAAAAACAAACCAAATTCTAAAGATACTCATTCCAAGGGTGGAGAACGGTTAGCCTCACATGCGACTACTAAAAAATCGTGTCGTTATGTAATGAAAATCATGCACTTTATAATTGTGAAAAACTTTTAAAACTTCCAGTAGAGGAAAGAATTCAAGAAGTGATGCGCCTTCGCGTTTGTTTCAACCGTTTATCTATTGAACACCGCAATAAACAATGCACTTTCGGTTCCTGTAAAAAATGCCCAGCGAAACATTACACTTTGCTATTGCTATTGCGATCGAACTCCTCAAGAACCAACAACAAATTCAGAAATCACATCAGAAACTGACACAAATGTTAAAACTATTTTACTAACGAAAGCATCTTCCAGAGAACATATTCTATTTGGAACTGCAATTGTTTGGATTAGACCTTTGTTAGCAATTAAAATTACCCTTGTCAACTTTGGACGTTGTTATATCTGGAGTAGGTAACACTACATACGAACCTCAACACAGTGTATCTGTTACCATTGAATCAACCTGCACAAGATTCTCTAAAAATATCGATTGTTTAGTAACCTCAGAAATTACAGAAGACATGCCTAATATACCTTTACGACGAAACGACATTGAAGTCCCATTAGGAATTACATTAGCTGATCCTGCATATTTTTAAACTCGACCTGTAGACCTATTAATTAGCGCAGGACTTTTTTGAAAATTATTATGTGTAGGACAAATTAAATTACGCGACGATTAACCTACTATACAGAAGACGCAACAGGGCTGGACCAATGGAACTTTGCACTCAAAAGCCAAAGAAAAAACTATCTTGTAATTTGATAACTAATCAACAATCTCGAAATATGGCAGAAAAGAGACTATTGGCAATGGAACGCAAATTTAAGAAACAACCTGAAATCAAAAAACGACACATCGAATTTATGGATGATTATGAAAATCAAGAACACATGGAGCCAATTCCTACAGAAGATCTACACACTACCAAGCCACCATGTTATCTGCCACATCATGCCGTCTTCAAGGAAAGCAGTACCACGAGCGACATCAGAGTAATATATGATGGATCATCAGAAACTTCGTCTGGAGTATCTTTAATTGATACACAACATACTGGACCCACCGTACAATGTGATTTATTCTCAATTGTTATACGATTTCGGCAACATAAAATCGTATTATCATCCGACATAGCTCAAATGTATCAGCAAATAAAAATTTCTAGAAATCAACAGGATTAACAACGAATTCTTTGGAGAAAGGATTCAACAGAACCAATTCAAGATTATCGATTAACAACAGTCACATATGAAACAACGTCAGCGCCGTTTTTAGCAACAAGAACTTTACGACAAATCGGCGAAGAGAATAAGAAAAGATTTCCAATCATGAGTGAAATTATCATTAGGGATTTTTACGTTGATGATCTTTTAACAGAAGGAGAATCACTGGAAGAAATTGTGACAATAAAGAATCAATTAAATAAACTATTGTCAGATTATGGATTCGTATTGAGAAAGTGTTGTTCAAATGACAACCGAGTCTTTGAAAACAAAGATTTAATTCACAAGAACAAAATATTACACGACAACAAAGTGCCAAAAACAGTAGGACTCGTGTGGAACTCCAATCAGGACAAATTAAAATATGCAGTAAAACAGTCAATAGAATCAAAATTTACTAAACGAAAAATATTATCAAGAATTGCTCAGATTTTTGATATATTGGGTTACAATTGAGCGTCGAGTTATTGCAGATAATGCACGGAATATTCAACTTCACGGATTTAGCGATGATTCAGAAACGGCATATAGAGCTTGTATATTCATTCAATCAACAGGTGAGTCAAACAAATATCATGTACATTTATTATGTGCTAAATCAACCAATAAAAAAATCACACTACCAACACTTGAACTTTTAGGAGCGGTGTTACTTGCACAACTATTAGACTCGGTATGTAGAGCGCTCACAGTAAAATTGGAGAATGAATTCTTTTGGTCCGACTCAACAATTGTTTTACAATGGATAAAATCTCTTCCAAATCATTGGAAAACCTATGTAGCCAATAGCACAAGTGAAATTCAAACTCTAACAAATGGAAATTGGAATCATGTTTCCTATTCGGATAACCCTGCTGACTTAATGTCAAGAGGAATAAATCCAATGGATCTACAGGACAACAAACTTTGGTGGAATGGACCCGAATATCTATTACAAAATGAAGAATCGTGGACAAATCAAGAAAATGAACGTGTACTTGAAATGCCAGAGGAATGCAAGCGCGAGTGCACACTTCTTGTTAACACAGTAGTGAACTTTTCTTTACTGGAACGTATTTTCAAATTAACTTCTTTGATTCAAGCCACTGCTTATTGTATGCGATTTATTAACAATGCAAAAAAAGGGCCTAAGCTTTCAGGGTTTAAATCCTTTCCTTGACACAGAGGGATTATTTAGGGTGGGTGGTCGATTAGAAAATGCACCAGTATCTTTCAATTAAAAGCATCCGATTATTTTATCGCCAAACAATCGCTTGACTCGTTTGTTAATTCAGTATGAACATTTGCGTCTTTTACATGCAGGATGTCAAACTGTAATGGCATCATTGCGAACTAAATATTGCCCGATTGCGTGTAAAAATGCCGTAAAAGGAATATTACGAAATTGTATTAAATGTTTTAAAATGAAACCATCAAAAATCAAATATATCATGGCAAATTTGCCAACAGCTCGTGTTACCCCAGAACGGCCTTTTTACACATCAGGCGTTGATTATGCTGGACCATATCATCTTATCGAAAGATCTCGCAGTCGTATACTATTAAAAGCGTATATTTGTATGTTTCGCAACAAAGGCAGTGCATATTGAATTAGCACACAACCTATTGGCTTTCTTAAATTGTTTACGACGATTTGTATTAAGACGAGGTTTATTTAAAAACATTTTTTCTAATAATGGAACAAATTTTGTTGGCGCAAAAAATGAATTGAAAGAGTTAAAATCTTTATTATCAAACAGCGAATTTTAAGAAAATGTATTGAATCTTTTATCAAATCAACAAATCGAATGGTCAATGATTCCTCCTGCAGCACCTCATTTTGGTGGTCTGTAGGAAAGAGCGGGAAAATCAGCAAAACATAATTTGTATCGTGTGGTAGGTAAAACCCGCCTAACTTACGAAGAATTGTATACTGTTCTAACACAAGTGAAAGCATGTCTGAATTCACATCCATTATCTCATCTTTCAACCGATCCTAACAACTTAACTCTTTTAACCCCTGGTCACTTCTTAATTGGAGACTCTCTTTTGGCTGTACCTGAACCAGATCAACGACATATCAAACAGAATCGGCTGAATCGATATCAACATCTGCAGCAAATGAATCAACATTTCGGGCAACGATGGCAAAAGGAATACTTGAGTCCATTGCAATTACGTTATAAATGGTTGCAACCACAGGATAATAATATAATATCCGATACCTGGGTTTATGACTCTCTGTACCTAACCCTTACCTAAAGGATCGTACTTTAAAAAAAAGAGCTTATTTAAGTAAAAACCTTGAACCATGTTGCCACATTTTCGTAAATTTTGTATTTTTCTAAATCATGAAAAAAAAAAGTTGCCAAATATTGTCTTTTTGCTCAGGACTAAGGTCCAAAAGGTGTAGGGCTTCGGCAATCGGTCGTCAGACAGAAACGAATGATGTTCCTTCGACTCAATATGAATTAATTTTGCAATTGTTTAATAATTTAACTTAATCTCTCCATATTATGAATAAATATGATTTTTAATTTGAGAATATTTAGTGCAATTAATTTATTGAACCTTTTCTTTGTAACAATAAAAACAAGAAATGTGATTCTTTTTATATTTGAAATTGAACTTTTAACTAAACAGCAGGAAAGTGATGGGCTTACAACCCAACAAATATTACATGAAGTTAGATGTAGTAGTATCCTATGTGAGAAAGGTGGAAAACTGAAAATTGGTTTGGGAGGACAAGCCTTATGTAGTTACAGTGGGACTACTCGGAGGTTCTGGTGACAAAATCCTGACCTAACAAAATCTTAACTATTCACTAACTTTCCTTTGACAGCAACTTTTTTATTAAAATAAATTTTACGACTTTAGATATTTATACTGTGTGGCTAGCGCGATATATTATCCATTGGGAAGACAATCAAGGGATGGAATTTTTATGAAAACTAAAAAATCGAAATGGATCGGTACAACTGATAATTACTAATATTTATTTTTTTAACTTATATATTTTACACTCGCCTTTTTGTCTTAATACTAGCGTTACAAGTGCCCCCGTAGAAATTTCTTATAAAGTATCTTATTCACTAAACTTTGCGTCTAAAGTACGACTTCGAATTAGAAGTACTCGCACTTGCCTGTACTTGTCAGTTATACTTATGAAAAATTTGTCTACATATATCTTGTCTTGTCAAACAATAATCTAAAATAAGTCCATTTGATGCAGCCTTTAATTCTTCAAAAGTTTTTATATCGTGTTTTACATTCTCCAATGCTAACTTTACAAGATTTTTATAGATATCCTAAAATGTAAATTTATGTTTAAAATTATATCATTGGAAAATAATATTGCTGAATGTAAGTTTATACATGTTGCGAAATAAAAATATTATTGATAACTTACCACTACATTATGGTCCTTATAAAGTAAAACACTGATAATAATATCTATTAAATTTTTCCATATAAAAACATCCGCTTCTCGTTTGACATACGCAAGAAAATTATAAAACGTATTAATTGGCATTATTCCTTTAATTGCAAAAAACCTAGCATCCTCCAAAAGCTTCATTCTATTTTTCACGTGAATATTCGTAAAATTTTCTGAATTCATGTAGTCTGATATTTGTTGCCAAGTCACATTGTCATAGTTAACTCTATAATAGCCTGCAAAAATTTTAATTTAAAATTAGAAGTGATTACTAAATACTTGTAAAGAGTTTAGTAAAAAATTTATTTATGTTTAGGAACAAAATGCTTTATACGTATATTTATAGTTACCGATTGATTGTATATTTAATATAACCCAATCCTTTGGTTTAACCTTTATAATTAATTCTCTATTCGAAGGAAGAAGAAAATTTATAGTTTGTTGTAATTGAAAATTAAGAGACGATTGTGTTGTAAACGTTATTGGAACTGTCCATTTAAGATTAGTAGAATTTTTGTCCTTGCATACAACACATTCTTGAGTTAATTTTACTCTTTTAGTTTCATTATTTCGGATAACATTGATAACTGGATAGCCGACTTGAGTAAGGTAAGGCATCAAGAATGCTTTTACATCAAATTCTCCGTACATTTGAGGAAAATTGGAATTATCTATTGACTGTTGAATTAATTCTAAGAACTGATCCATTGTTATCGTTTGATATTGACTGTAATAAAGAAATGTTTAATTATTTGGGATAAAATAATTCTGTCTCTTCAATGGTAAATATTTAAAATCATAAAAAGGAGGCATAGTTTTTTTTGTAAAGGATATTCGACAGAATAAAGACTTTAGACATTTTTGTTAATGAAATATATATGTTCAAAATCAATTGTGTTCAAACATATCCTTCTCACGGTTTGTGAAATTGTTAGACATTAGAGACGTCTCCTGGCGTCTCTATGCGTCGCCATCACAATTAGCATCTTTCTGGGGTCAGACTCTGTTAGGAGTTTCAGTGTAATTCTTTCCTCAGTAATTATTCTAATATAGCCAATGTCAACAAAGATGTTGAAGACCTGTCAGGTGAAGAAGAATCTTAGCTAGTAGGGCGACGCGATGTCCAACTGGTATTTCAACATAATAATTTGGGATTGATTAAGGTGCTTAACAACCGTCATCCGATGAAGGAAGACGAACTAGAAGAGGAAGGGTTTGATGGGATCTTAACAAGAGGGAACAAGTTTCTTCCACAAATGTTAGTACAACAAGCTAGACTTTGCCCAGAATACAAAAAGACTGGTACCCGATGAAAAGAAAAAGCAGTTAGTTGGAATCGTATTGGTCCCGATAATACTCCATCGCAATGGAGTAAATTAGCGAGAACAAGCCTCGTGCACTACCAGCGGAGACCTCGCAGTGGTTCTGTTTTTAGACAATAGTAATGCATTCAAGTAGCATGGCATGCTAAATCTATATCTTGCTAATCAACTACTAGGTACGTCGGGATAGTAAAAACCCTTCAGATAGCATTGAATTCTTTTAATCGACTCTGGAGAAAGAATTACTCTCTCAAGCAAGTCTAGGCGAAAGATAGATAGTACCCAGAAGACAAGAAAACTGGTGCCCAATGAAATGGAGAGGCAGTCAGTTACAGTTCAGTCCTGTCACTTTTAAAGAAACGTGTTATCACCCTGACAATTAGAGAACCTGCACTAGGTATGTATTTGACGTCTTCTATGGGGAGTTTTCGTTTCAGTGGAAATATTATCATGACCAGTCACTTTTTAGAAAGTCTCGACATCCTGACGACTAGATAGCCTGCACTAGTTGTCAATTTGACGTCTTCTGGATGGAGTTTTTGCTTAGTATGAAAATTATCATGACCTTTCAGTTTTTTAAGGAGTCTTGACATCCTGTCAGTGACACTGCCTGCACTAGGAGACTATTTGACGTCTTCTCTTATAAATAATAATAATAGAAATTAATTAACTTTCTCTAAAACATATAACATAACTTACAAGTTTTTCACCATGTTCTTGACTGCTCTGTGAAGAACCTGTTTAGTTACGATGTTAGACAACATATTGATAATAACAGGTGCTGTAAAACAATTAAAATTTAGCAAAAATGGGTAATATTTTCTCCTTCACATGTTTATGAATTGTTAAATACTTATTCTATTTTATAATGTTAAGGTTAATGCGATTAAATGAATATAATTAGTTACTTACATTTCATATATAATTGTGTAACGCTATCAAATACATTAGATGCATCACTAATATTTCGATAAATAGGTAGATTATTTAAAAGATCTTCTTCATTGAAACTTTCCCACATGTTTGAGTACAGAGACTGTGTCAAAGCGTCAGAACTTCCATCTACAGAAATCTGATGATAATAAAAATAATTTTTTGATTATTTTTAGTACAATTAACAATACTCTAATTACTATTTTTGTTCACACTTACCTTTCTATTAATTAAACTTTCAAAATAGGTCGGTAAACCCTCGGTTAACCATAAATCCGACCACCATGCAGGAGAAACTAGATTTCCTATCCATTGATGAATTATTTCATGACATACAATTTTACTAATTTTATTAAAATATCCTGTTCGTGTCGTATTGTACGTCAGAAAATTTCTTTGTCTAGACAAATAATTTCTCAATTAGCTGAGTTTATTTAAATATTTAATTAAATAAGCCCAATAATATGAAAATAAAATTATTCTACTTTATAATAATTAATCCATAATTTTCCATTCCACTCATTTCAAATTCATGTGCAAGGAAGATATCTATTTTTGGAAGGGAATATGGAACACCGAGAAATGTTTCCATAGCATCAAATGCTTTTAAGCCAACATTAAAACCATATTCAATACTTTTGTCAGAAACAGTTCGACTTGCCCAAACTGTATAGTTTCCAAATTTGTTGGTAACATTTTTAAAATCAGAAACTGCGAATGCTAATGTGTACGTTGATAATAATGGCGTTTTCTTAAATTTTGTCCAAATTTTCCCCTCTTCTGTTAAATTATTCATTTTTTCAAGTACTGGCATATTAGAAAGAGCTGTATAATTTGGAAAATGTTGAATATTAATTTCGAATTTTGCTTTCAATGCCGGCTCATCCCAACATGGAAACACTTGACGAGCAAAAGTCGGTTCAAAATGTGTTAAAGCGTAAAATCTGTAAATTTTAAGAAGCATTTAAATTATTTCCTTTAATTTAATTTTTCTTGATTTAAATATTAATGACTTACATTTTTTGTTTTCTTTCATCATTATACGAACTTCTAAAAAATCCATATAATTGATGATCATGTATATATCCTTTAAATTTTAAATTAAGTTCATAAGCTCCTGGATTCAAATCGTCTATAAAATTAATTATTAAAAATTCAGTAGATAGAACCATTCGTTGACTTATTGGTAAAAACTCATCTATTCCATTTTTTAGAGTTGTATGTGCAATGTCAACTGTCAAATTTGATGCGTGAAGTGTAATATTGTTAGTTGTACTTAAAACATCTATTTTAATAGACACATTTCCATTAAATGTTCCAACTTTAGCAGTTATATCAGGATTTAAAAATAATTTATAACTTTGAGGTATTACATTGTCAGGCAAACGATATCTATTTGCTTGTGCAAATATTATTAAATTGAAAGTCAGAAATAAATAGAAAGTATAAAAATTTCTTGGCAACATATTTCAAAAATAATTAAAAAAATTCTCGTTGCTTTTGACTATCGAAATCTTTTAAATATAATATATAGCCAAATTTACAGTTTACTTAAAAATGTGTTATCACTGTAACATAATTTTACACTAAGACTTTATAATTAAAATGATCTTCAATAGTTGAAGCCTAGGCGAAACTAATAGAAATACCAATTTTCCAAAGTATTTAAATTTCTTAAGTTAAATGTAGTCTGAGTTATGAGCAACATGTTAGGTAAATAAAAATGTGACCTTCAATTTATTCGGCGCGTGCAGTATAAATTTTGAATCTACCAAATGCTCAAAATTTATTATCACTTGTGACAACAAATTATTATTTAGATTACATTGACATAAAAAAAATTATTTTACTCTGAAATGGATGAATGCCCTTAATTTACTTCAATGATAAAAAATGTAGTACATATTGTTCAAAAATTGTTATTTAAAGTATCAACGTTGATATTTTTCCGTCCAACTTATATTTATTTAAGACTGACGAATTTAAAAACTTTACACTCTTTTTACTCACGGTGCAAAAGTTTTGTGTTCTTGATGATGAATTTGATGTCTGATTTTAAACTTGATATTGTCGAGTAACAAAATTTATGGAGATTTTTATTACCGTTTGTTTCTATCATTAGATATTAATTTATTGTTAAATATGTCAGTTACCATATTTTTGTCCCAAGAAAGCAGAAATGAAAATGGTAAAAAGTCAAGAAAAGTCAGGGAATTTTTTTCTCAATCCTTTTAAGACATCCTAAAAAACCCAAAATGATTTTGCATGAACTACGTACACGGAAAGAAATATGTTACGAATAACGCTAGAGACATTTTGGTTCGCTTTTCGCATAGACGTCCGCACCTAATTTTGCAAAGGCCGGTGCTAACTTTGCACAGCTTTTTTCCACTTGTGCCACATTTGCTCAAATCCATGAAAAATCAGCATGGATTTCTTGCAACTTACGCATGGTGGTGTGTATGCACTTTTAGTACGGCCTGCTCATGCGCTAAGAGCAACAGATTTCTCTCCGTGTAGTTATAGTGAACTACGTAGGATTTTTAAGAAATATCAATTAAAAAAACTGGCGTCAATATTAAAAAGAAATACGATAAAAAAATTGCTTGAAAATTAATCACATAATTGGAAAATTTTAATTTATCTAAAAAATCCTACGTAGTTGACTAGCTTTAGCATCTTCATTTAAAATCATTTTGGTTTTTTGTTCCAGATTTTAAATTACGACTTGTAGTAAATCGCCCATGCAAGATCCTCGGAGAATAGTATATTAAGTAACAAGAGGATAAAGCCAGCCATTTTTATAAAAAAGAAATGTTTAAATATATTGTTACACACTTTAAGATATGGATTTTTATATGTAAATACCCAAACATTATTAAATTTTATTTCTCTTTTACAAAAAATTAAAATTACTCTACTTTTATTGCACACACTTAAAAAAATTAAAAAATATGGAGCACAGCGAAAAGCTTGAATTTTAGCAAAAAGAAAATAATATTTGCGACTAAATGAGTTTTGGGCTACTATAAAATATTTTTGGATGAAATTGAAAATGGAGAGAAAGTAAAGCTCACTTGAGAAAAAATGTCTTTTATAATTTTAAAAATTTTTCATTATGCTTTCTGAGATTAATATTTAGAAAATAAAAATGTCATAAATAATAAGAAACTCGCACATGTTCAATCATTCTAAAAATTGATAAACATTTTTTTTAATTTTTTAAAATCAATTGACACGTGGATAGCTCTATTTTATTAAATCAAAATTATCGCAGAGTCGATTAAACGAACGGTTGTCTAGATATTAAATTTTATTTGACAAACATTACACAACTGAACAAAGCTAAATGTTCTAGAGTATGAAGTTTAGTCATTCTGAGATATTTGATTTGGATTACTTTTATTACTAAAGCAGAAAACTGCGTCCACAAATCAAGTTACGCTTAAGTAACTTAAGTTTCACTTAAGGCGACTCGTGATACCGAAAAATCTAATAAAATAAATTTGGGTCTTTCTGAAGAATCATAGGGTGAGCTAATTAACTGAACTCGACTTCATATCTAGTGAGTCGCGGAATAGACCTCCTGTTCTAAATGGGTGAGTCAAATTTGCGAAAAAATGAAATAAAGGTAAGTAACTAATTTCCAGCTTCTTTCCAGGTAGGTTGCGGCATGGGTAAGTTCGCGGCGTAAAAACTAAAAAGGTAATTAACTAAACTTGGTATCATTACAGGTAAGTCGCGGAGTGGTGGTCCAGTTTCTTTAACAGGTAAGTTCACTTCGCGGAAAATGGGAAAAGGCGTGTGACTAAATCCCTGCTTTTCATCCAGGTAAGTCACAGCGTAAAAAATAAAAATATAATTAACAAAACTTTGAATTATTTCAGGTAAGTCGCGGAGTGAAACTTCAGTTTCTTAACAGATAAGCTCACTGTGCGAAAAATGGTGAGAAGTTGAGTATCGGTCCGAATATGTCAAAGATCGCGAAAATTTAGGCTGTAGGCAATTTGTCGTTTTGAAGGTGCTTATACCGACGGATGTGAAGAAAGCGATCGTCGGGGGATTCTTTTTCACCGACGGTCACGTTAATTGTACGCGTGGGAAAACATTTGAGAAATAAACGAGGGGCTTCTCACTCATGAAATTGCGCAATATTCTGATTCAGATCTTGTCGGATTTTGTGAGAGTCTGTCAGAGTCTGTCGAATTTTGTCACTGAACGCATGCGCAATGAACTAAGTAAAAACGCTCAACTTCGCAAGATTTTGTAAGAATCTATCAGAATCTGTCAAGCAATGTTTAAATAAATCTAACGGAATCTTAAGTGAGAAGCCATTAAGAAATAAATTCTCTTCTATCTCGGATTCTCACGCTTAAAAAAAACTTTACTTAGTTACACTTTGTAAAACTTAGTTAAAGTACTTTTTTTACACTTTTTTTTAGTTACACTTTACTTAGTTTTTTTACATTAGACTTTACTCTTTTTCTTTTAAGAACATGGTAAACAACCATCAATTTTAACACTGTGGGAATTATCGTTCTACTATCTACGCAAAAATTTAAAAATCTCCCGGTTCACTCTTTCTGCCACGTTGATCTAGGGGCGTTGGATTAAGGTTAAAATATAGACAATATTCTCCTTAGCCAGTTTTTTTTCTTTTACACATTCGAATTGATCATTTTAATAAAAGTTTTTTGGTTTCCCGTGCTCATCCCCTTGAGTGTCCCGACGGATGGCACGGGCGTGTTTTTATTTTTCCGGTCTTTGTGTTGATTGCTGATTCGGTGGCTCTTCGACTTTCTCTTCGTCCATTCCATCAGACACAGCTAGCGTCCTTATAGTCATGGTATTAGACTAGGAGTGCTTGTCTTTTGTTCCACAGTTTTCCTCTCTCTTTTGGCCACCTGATCTCTCGTTCTCCGTCTTGTTTTGGCGACTACGCCAGTTCTTAATTTTCGCTTCCTCTAAGGCAGCTTCCTATTAAGTAAGCGGTTTCTTCCTGGCTCGGGATCACTGCATTCCAATAATCCTTCAGCTCATTCACGAACTTCATCGGCGAGTGATTCTCTCCGAAAGAAGCGCCTTTGGACACATTCTCGATGCCACACTCCTAGTAGGAGGTTCGACCCCCTGCCTCCTTCAATTGGCTATCTTCTCATCTGTTTCCGCTTGTTGCGCCCGTAGGTTTTTCATTTCTTGTAGGTTCTTTTCTGTTGCTTTTTCACATAAATTCACCGCTCGAACGTTTGAATGAATCATCTCCTCGGTCGCCTGGTTTAACCTGGTTTCCAGACTCTTATGATTTTTGTTGTTCAAGTCTCTGAAGCTTTTTATCACGTGCGTAATTTCAGATCTTAACTTAATCTCCGTATCCTCCAAGTTCTCCTCGACATCTACTACCTGCTGTTCTAGGTGAATCAGGTCTGCTTTAACCTCTCTATATTCCCGTCGCATCCTTTCACAATCACTCCGTACCTGCGCAAACTGAGCCAACAGTTTACTTGAATCTTTTTCCCAGTCTGCCTCTAACGCCTTTGGATCTGCGCGGCTCACCGGTGCCGCCTGTTTCTAAATGGGTCCCTCTGATGCGACGTCCAGGAACTCTCCAAACTCTCGCGATTTCTCCATTAGGCTCTTCCGATGATTATTTCTTGCAGTTTCACGAGCAGTACCAACGTTAAAAAACCCTTGAGGCAAGTTATAATCTTCCTGATGTCTACGTGGGGTTAAGGACTCTTCTCTGAATTTGCTAGACCGATCATGCAAGGACCCATGGCTTTGGTCCATTCTTATATTCTTCTTAGGTCTGACTCGTCTACGCGACATTTCTGTAGATCTTTCGACACTTCGGGCCCCACGTTGGGCGCCAATGTAACGGTTCGTAACTGTTTTTAATCCTTATTGGAAGGAAGTAATAATCAGGATAACCCGGGGTGAAGAATGACACAGTTGATTAATCAAATTAATAATGTTTTTATTAATTAATCTTTTTGGCGACGATCCTAGCACTTATAAAAATAAACATAAAACGACAGTTTTGGTGAATCACTTGGTACGCGTGGGGAAAAACTTGAAAAATAAATACTCTTCTATCACGGATTCTCACGCTTAAAAAAAAAACACTCGCGGTTCGTAACACTCGCACACTAATTAAAGAGTTCGTTCGCGGTTAACTAGGGTCAATTCGCGATTTAGTTTTAAGGAATGGCGGCCGAAGTGGCGCTGACCATGGTAAAGAGGATTTCTTCCCAACAGACGAGGCGGCGTTCGCTGAGAGTAGATCGAAAGGATGCTAGGTTGGGATGAGAGTGGAGAGAGTAACTGGACAGCTTTCCCAACGCCAAGGCGGCGGACTTGAGAGAGACTGTTCTACGTACCAACTGCTTCTACAGGAACACCTGGGATAACAACCTGGCGGCGACCTTCAACCGTGGAGCACCACTAACGATGGTCTCTGATAGTTTTAACAGCACCGCGTTGTCGCTTGTGCAAAAGCATTCCACCTATGTGCCACGTTCGCACCACTTGGCCAACTACTGGCCCGGTACAATACTGACTTTTACTAGTGACATTACCGACTAAGGGTCACTTAT